AGCACAACCATTGCTGTGATATTAACTAGAGTTCCCGGAGCGGGACTCAGTTGAAAGTTGGGTCCAACCTTGAAAGACATGCGTAGCAAGACACAACTACTTTGGCAAGGCACGTTACGCATTTAGAGGTATAAATTTCCGCGATAAAATATCTAATTTACTTCCCAGCAAAAAAAAATTAAAAAAACACCTCTTTCAAGCTTCTCAATAGCAGAAACGGAACCCTGTTTTTAGCGCGTCCAAATAAATCAATTGGTTCGCATCACGTGACATTTGTGCAGGGTATAACCTTTTTTTACAAAAGTACGTGAAATTTACATTCAACAAAACGCACACAGGATCAAATTTAAGCCCCATTTTCAAGGTTTAACCGAGTTTCCACATGTATTACACGGGAATTATGTCATTTAACTGTGAACTATATTTACCATCGCCACACAGACGGATGAATTTGACGGAAACAAAAAACAGAGTATCATGTTATACCACGTTGTACCATGAGTGTACACTGGAAATATATGAACATATTACAGAGTGTAAGCTTACTAACCCGTCATTGAAGACAGCCATTGGGGCATTTAATGGAAGTCCTATAGCTTCGGTGTTCAAAGATGAAGTAGAACGAATGTTTTATGGCAAACAAAACGGTATATACAAGTTAAATCACATGACCACGCTAAGCTCCTTTCATGAGAATCACGAATCGCTCCTTGCATTAAGTACTTCCTGGTTTCGAGTGTCAGGACCCCCATATGGATTGTTGCTCAGTGTTGTATCTTTCTTTCCAAGGCGGAAGACCGTCTAATGTGCAACTTGGGGGGGGGAACTAAATAGAGAGTATGTTTACTAATATAGTGAGTCGTGATAACCTAATTTATTTTCTGAATGTACGATGTGTTGATGATTAGTACAACAACTGTTGGTGAAGGGTTAGGTATATTCTGCATACAGTCAACCACTCGCAATGCTGCTCATTTGGGTAAAATGTTGATCTGTGTCAACTTCAAGTTCACATGAGTACCTCATGTGCACCTTCCAGTTCATCCGTGGTATCTCTGTCCACGTTTTGGTCTAGAAAAAAACACACCGTACGTTTACTAGTCTAGTTGTCATTCGCTCTCTTCTGGCCTGAACATTAACAGAACTACTAGTAGTACTTTTTTAAATACGCTATAGAAATAGAAAAGCATTTTTGGGAGTTCCCTTTTTGATAATTTGTAGAGTTTAAAACCCTCTATTTTCAGGGTCATGTAGAACTTATAAAAAACGAGTACACATTAAAACAATTCTGCGAAAAGAAAATTGAAATAAAACTCGATTATGTCATTTTCCACTGACTTACAAGTTAAATACACTATGTAGAACGTTTTCATTCAGATCGTAGTTGATAAACGGATGCTCTGGAGTTAGTTGAAGCACGGTTACTAAAAAGGAGTTTAGTAACCGTAGTTAGATCAGTTCTAGTATTTTCCAGTACAAAACTAATCACATGTAATGCCTAATAATTGTTGATTACTGATTAATTGGTATAACCTCACTACTGGCGCACGGTGAACCGCATGTCACGCTTCAAACGAATTGTTAGGGCACCTTACACAAACATGGAACAACCGGCGAGAAAGGATACGAACTCGGACTGGAAAATGTCTATGGGATATATTCGGTGTTTTCTTAATTGTTGCTTAGCGTGTTGTCAAATATTGATACTAATGCGGTTATTACGAGAACACCTCAAAGTATGCACGACGCGCAGGATACATCATCGGAATGCAGAAATCCAAAAAGTTTAGAACAAAATCAGCGAGCTTCTTTGTGTGGAGTCCGGTCAAACCCTGATGGCAGCCATGTTTGTTTTTATTATTTATGGCGTTACGGTGACAGATGTATAATAATAGTATATAACATACCACAAGTAAAACAAACAAAATAAAATAGCCTGTAATCAGATTGGGAACTGGAGGTATCCAATTTTTGTAACTACATTGGTTAAATGCGTTAAATACTGAAATAATGATGCTGGTAAATATAATAGTTAAACAGGCATATACAATATTATTATTATTGAAGAAATGGTAAGACGGATTGGGCTACAGAAATTAAACATATACCACAGTCCCTCTAGAGGGACTGTGCATATACTATACACACATGGCTTTGTGATATTTTAATAGAGTAAGGCGCATGGTGTCAACTCAAAATTATCAACATTTTACCAAAACCGTTCGTATTTAGATATATAGAGGAAGAACACATTCCATTCAACCTTGGGACAGCGACATTTTTATTTATAAAAAAATATTTTGTAATATCATAGTAAATTATTCAAAATACTTAAATTAGAAGTTAATGTACATGTATTCGTGATTATATAAAAATGAAATATTTAACTTTCTCTTGTATTTGAAATGCATGTCTAGAACAACTTATTCCAGTACTACGGCATGTCATTTTTATGTCACGTGTTATGTAATGAATGAATGCTTTCTATCATAGTTTCGTGTAATTATCTACATCGAAATATGTACTACTGTAGTAATAACACGTTGCCTTGAATTGACAGTAAGTCCATCATAGATTTTAGGTGATGAAAGTATCGAAGGAGTCATCGGCGGTGAATAGGCACGCCCAAGTCAAAACTCATACGGGTGATTTCATTAGAATAACCCATTGGATTGTGGGAAAATCAATGTTTATCAACACAAATGTCACACATGTGCGGTGAGACGACCACCACCGTTTAACTCACACTAGCAAGAAAACATATCTAAAAGCAGAAAATGTTATGTTAATATTATTAAGTGTAGTTGAGTCACGTCGTGTTCTGTGTGCTTATTCCTGAAGAATGCTTGTCTATACCACAGACTACGAATGTATTATTTGTCTTAGCCCACACATATACTAGGCCCATACACACACAGAAACGTGTCTGATTTGGCGTTGTTCTATTTTTCATAATACCACATGGAGTTGAAATATTAATATATATTTTTTTTAATTTCCTTTCCTTGATATCAAAATGTATTCCACATTCCATTCAGTAATCATGATGCGGAAGTAGTATGTGTAAAATTGTGACGCCATAATCAACGCGCCACTCTAAGGGTAATCCCCTACCACGAAATGCTTACAGAATAGCAAATAGTGAGAACACTGTTCAGACTGTTGGTATTTTTAAACACTGTGGCATACTGCGATTATAAACTATGTATATTTCATTGAATTTATGCTACAGAAACATTTACCTTACGAATTCAAATACACTCTGCTATAAAACAACTGACATAATAGTGACCAACTTGAAAAACTTAACAATTATTATCTTTCGCGGTGCGTGTGGGTGGCTCAGAAACTACGCACACTGTAATTATGAGGCTTCCCGCTCCTCAGAGAAATAAACTTATGAAAAATCAGTTAATTATTGAACTTGGACGAACTAATAACAAATCCGAAGGACAACAACGTTCTTTTAAACTAGAACAGGGATTGAGCAGTAGCAGCTCAGAGTCTCAGGCCTCCCAACTTTACAACTGTAATTACTTCACAAATTATTAGATCCATGCGCACAGTTAACAGGCCTGCAAACTTATTAACAAGTGTAGGAAATAATAGTATCTTCAATACAGCTTAGGGTGGACAATTGTGTAGATTAAAGACTCAAGCTAACTTTCCTTAAATGGATTCAGTTATTACCGGATGCATGACCCTTGCGCCTAGTTTTGAGCCGACATTTGTTTTCGGAACTATGTTGTCGTTTTTCTTACTTTTCTATGTAAAACACTGAGAGTTCCCAATGGCCAACTCCTACTATATTTACCAGCTTCTGTGCCATTTACGATTGTCTAAATACACAGAGACAGCATTTCCAGTTACGCGTTAGATGCAATTGCACTGTGTGTTGAAAAAGTTTCATATTTGATATGTATGACGTACGAGTTGAAATTGACACTCAAAATTTATGACGTCACATATTTGCTTGTCTGTGTATGTCGTAATTATGTAGTATCACTAGGTTGTAGAAAGTCTCT